GCAGGGCAAGCAGGCGATCAGGCCCACTCAGCATGGGTTTATGAAAGGCAGGTCCTGCTTGACGAACCTGATCTCCTTCTGTGACAAAGTGATGCGCTGGGTGGACGAGAGAAAGGCTGTGGATGTGGTCTACCTTGACTTCAGCAAGGCTTTTGACACCGTCTCCCACAGCATTCTCCTCAAGAAACTGGCTGCTCTTGGCTTGGACTGGCGTACACTTCGTTGGGTTAGAAACTGGCTGGATAGCCGGGCCCAAAGAGTTGTGGTGAATGGAGTCAAGTCCAGCTGGAGGCCGGTCACTAGTGGCGTCCCCCAGGGCTCGGTGCTGGGGCCGGTCCTCTTTAATATCTTCATCGATGATCTGGACGAGGGCATTGAGTGCACCCTCAGTAAGTTTGCAGATGACACCAAGCTATGCGCATGTGTTGATCTGCTCGAGGGTAGGAAGGCTCTGCAGGAGGATCTGGATAGGCTGCACTGATGGGCTGAGGTCAACTGCATGAAGTTCAACAAGGCCAAGTGCCAGGTCCTGCACCTGGGGCACAACAACCCCAAGCAGAACTACAGGCTGGGAGATGAGTGGTTGGAGAGCTGCCAGGCAGAGAAGGACCTGGGAGTGATGGTTGATAGTCGGCTGAATATGAGCCAGCAGTGTGCTCAGGTGGCCAAGAAGGCCAACAGCATCCTGGCTTGCATAAGAAACAGTGTGGCCAGCAGGGCTAGGGAGGTGATCGTCCCCCTGTACTCGGCTCTGGTGAGGCCACACCTCGAGTACTGTGTTCAGTTTTGGGCCCCTCGCTACAAGAAGGATATCAAGGTGCTCGAGTGAGTCCAGAGAAGGGCGACGAAGCTGGTGAGGGGCCTGGAGAACAAGTCCTACGAGGAGCGGCTGAGGGAGCTGGGCTTGTTCAGCCTGGAGAAAAGGAGGCTCAGGGGCAACCTTATTGCTGTCTACAAGTACCTTAAAGGAGGCTGTAGCGAGGTGGGGGTTGGTGTGTTCTCCCACGTGCCTGGTGACAGGACGAGGGGGAATGGGCTTAAGTTGGGCCAGGGGAGTTTTAGGTTGGACCTTAGGAAGAACTTCTTTACCGAAAGGGTTGTTAGACACTGGAACAGGCTGCCCAGGGAAGTGGTTGAGTCACCATCCCTGGAAGTCTTTAAAAGACGTTTAGATGTAGAGCTTAGGGATATGGTTTAGTGGGAACTGTTAGTGTTAGGTCAGAGGTTGGACTCAATGATCTTGAGGTCTCTTCCAACCTAGAAATTCTGTGATTCTGTGATTCTGTGATTTCCTATTTCATCTTTCCAGTTAATAGTAAAATCTGCACTCCAGTTCTTTGAATTTAGCATGAAAACATAAATAATAACAATAATTTAATCATTCATATGAGCTGCCAATGGAAAACACAATGTAATTAATTTTTATTTTTCCTTCATTTGCTTGCTGACGATGTTATGATTTAGTGAACTCCAGTTAGCCATCCAGTCTGCACAACACTGAAATTACGTTATTTTGAGTTCTGCATTATCGTCATTGTACACTGCGTTAAGTAATGTAATGTTCAAATTAATTGCCTAAAAAATCAATTGTATTTATGGAATTATTACAGAATTGTTTATAGTTCTTAAAGATTTAAGGAAATTGTGGGAATTTTATTTGTCATCAGAACTCACCACTGAAATTATACTTTTTATACCTTTAGATAAAGGTGTTAAGTATACCCAACTGCATTGCCACCTGAAAAAATAAAATAAAATAAATAAAATAAAATAAAATAAAATAAAATAAAATAAAATAAAATAAAATAAAATAACCTGCCTGGAAAGTTTTGGTGACTGTTATTTTGTATTTGCATAAATCTTGCTCACTTGGATTATTCAGAAACCCACATTTTGGTGGAGATCATTAGAGTGTGTATACATTTAAGTAGTTTAGATCAGTCACAATGAAACACATAACTAAATGTTGCAATAATAAAATATATCAGTTTTAATTCACACACCACAATATCAGTAATGTCATGAACCTATTGAGATTGCTACATAGAATTTGTAAGGTTAGATTTACTGATAATATTTCAGAGAAAACCATCTGATGAAAGTACCATTTAACAAGAGTTTGGAGTACTCAGCTGAGCATGTTGGCATTTGTGGTCATAAAACATGACAACAGGAAGTAAGCAAAGATTTTGATCAACAGCATTGAATACTGAGAGCTGAAAAAGAGACTGAAGTATGCTGACAACTCTAAGGATAATAGCTATATTGTGCCCTGGTTTTCCTCAGAGAATTAAAAACTGATCCGTTTCCTAAAAAATTCTAAGTCTAGAATTGGAGAAAATTATAGCTCCATTCCAATGTGAAGGTTTTATTATTCCTTCACATTTGTTATCATAAATGATGCAAGGCAGAAGGCTTTATCAGAATCTGAGAACATGATCAAGAATCAGACAGTATGTGGGTACATTAAAGAAACTGCACAGCGTTCTATGGTCTACCACAGGGCTCCATCTGCACAGTCAGCTGTCAGGTCAGAATTTTAGAATGAAATCACGCCATTTAAACAGACAGCTACCTATGAAGTAAGATCAAAATCTGAGTACTGTTTGCTTTCTTTCATGTTTATTTCCATATTATGCATGGCAAGTGCTTGCTGCATACTCTAAACATAAATCGCACTTTTCTTTCCATGAGAAATATCATTCTGATTGTTGGTTCATGATGAAGAATTTTATCTGGTTTATGATGAAGAAAAATGTTGAAATGATCAAATCATGGGGACTCCTTTCTGCATTGCTCTTAAATGCAAGTACAATATAGCAAAAGTCACCAACATTATTTTTGAAACAACATTGAAAATGATTCACGTCGCCCTCACAGTTCTGTTCATTGAAATGGATACCTATCATCTGCTGCAAATACTGATCTTCAGAGTTAGTTTGGGACATCACTTTTCTGAAAGCCTTCAGATCCACTTCAGTTTGTCTCTTGACAAACTTCTCATAAGAATATTGCGTTTTTCTAGACAAAATAGAAAATTCTTTAACATATAGTAGCATATTTTGGTCCTGTTTTGGGGGAGTAACTTAATGTTGGCAATTGAACATATATGCATGTGACAATTTACACTTCAGTATATCAGCAAGCTGAGAAATTAAAACAAATTTGAAGCAGATTTGCAGTTTTACTTTCTACAATTCTGATTTCTTTTGTGTACAGTCCAATTATTGTTTCACAAACAAGGAAATTTTCAAAAGACACAATTGGCTTCTGATGTCCACAAACCTAAGCTGGAGTTAAAAAACAGACATCAGTAAGCTCTATCTCACTTTTCTGTTTTAATATTGCTTGCTTCCCTTTCTTCTCATTCTCCATGAATCATCTGGATTATTACAAAATCAAAATCAAATGAACAAACAAAACAAGCAAACAAAATTCTGAGAATATAGTGAAAACTACACACTATCCCTCAGCTTCCCCTCCAGACCCTTCCCATTCTTCTGTGATTTATCTCAGTATATTCTGACAGATCTTGACATGAGAGTTTCTCTCCATTCTTGGAACTTCTCTGTGGCTGATTTTGTACAAGAAAACATAAAACTGCCATAAACTTTTAGTTACAAAGAAACTAAGTCATTATTTTGACTTTTACTTCAGCTTTGCTTATCAAGTTTGTATTATTTATATCATTTACTTTCCTGTTTCCTAAAAGTTATATATATATATATTATGATTTCTCTGAGGAGTATAGGTAACTGAATCCTATCTTCTATACTCATGCATATGTACTATTTGTTATTATAATGACTAGGAGTTCAGCTACAAGCATGATCAACATGGGTGCTAAACTATTAAACAGGCTCCTACTCATAAAATGTTTTATTTTATTACATTTATATTACAACAAATTGGAATAAACATGGCTCAGTGATGCAAAAATCAAATGAGTTTTCAAAGCTGTTATATTTTTCATCTGATTTTTACACTTCACATAATGGTACCCTCATATCTTGTAACTAGTCTGTCATACTTCAAATTATTTTTATTCACAACTCTATTATCACCTCAGATATCTTAATATTTCTTCTCCTTGTTTGTAGGACTGAATGATAATCCTACATGTAAATTGAAGCTTCATCTTGTGCAATGATTACAGAAAAAAAAAATAAATTACATCAGCTTCAAAGTTCATAGAGCATGTAAAGTGAGAAGGAAGTACTATGTCATTAGAGAAACTTTTCTGGTCATTTGTTTATGTCCATCCTTCCTTATTAACCAATGCATCAGGCATGATATGAAAAAAAGGCAATAGATTAATCTGATCTCTTTTGCAAGTAAGATATAGTCTATGTGTACATTTGTAATCTAAATTCTTGCCACGTTTTTCATATTGATATCATAGGAATGCTTAAATACGTGCGTATATATATATAATTATGCATATATAGACATGTACATTTGTGTCTATGTGTACACTATATATTGAATTATGCTATGTCATACGTTGCTAATAAAGTGAGAGAAAGACAGATCTTTATGGTAACAATATGAAACAGAATATAAAATGAAACAGCAACCAAGGTGCTTTATTTAAATGTCCCCTTTTGAAGAACTCCAAGAGTTCCAAGAACTTTGGAACCCAACCATGTTTTGAAAACTGAACGTTATCAGCTCTATCTGGTATAGAACGGCCTGGAAAACTGAAACCTTACTAGTTAACAGTGTCACAATATCCAGGCTTTGAACCACATAGAGGTACCATTCCATATTTCAAGAACTGAAAAATAATATAATGAATAAACACTAATATTTAGAATGGATTATATTCCAGGTCTTATTCCGTGAACACATGGCAGTACATAAGCATTTTAGCTGGAAGAGTCATCACAAATATATATTTAAAACAAATTTAAGAACGCTAGCAAAAGAGACTTGATGTTCATATCTGTGATTTATTTTTCAGATAACTTAATTGTTGTGACTATATTTTTAGTACTTACCACTGTGCTGTGTTTTTGAGAAGCTTTCAGAATCCCCTCGTAGGAAGCAGAATATTGTCATTTCAGTTATAGCACACGTTTTTCCTGTGAGGAAGAAATATATAATGTTCTTCAGTAAGAGAAAAAAATAAAATGCATGCTTATGAGTCATAGACAGTGAAACAAGACACATATGAAATCACCTATAATTCTGATTTTCAATATTAAAAATAATAATAATAAATAAATAAATAAATAAATAAATAAATAATATTGATACCCAGAGGATAACTACATTACAATAGTGCATTAACATTTGTCCTAACAGTTATTAGTAACATTTTTTCTTTTCTGATCAATCTTTGCTAAGGAAGTAAATTGCCTTTAAACCTTTAAACCACAAAAATATTAATTTTATTAATTTCAGGGAAAAAAAAAAAAGACTAGAGAAAGTACTTTAAGACAAAAGAAGTGAAAAAACAAAACAAAACAAAACAAAACATGATCCTTATAAAAATATTTCTTTAAATGTATGTTGTATACATTCAAATTTAGTATACATTCAAATTTAGTTTAGTGGGGACTATTTGTGTTAGGTTAGAGGTTGGACTCGATGATCTTGAGGTCTCTTCCAACACAGAAATTCTGTGAATCTGTGAATTCTGTGAAATATCAAATATGAAATCATTTGATTATTATTTATTATTACTTAAAATTATTTAGCATAGACGTTTACAGAAATTATTATGGCAAAGTGGCAATAGTGTACTTCCTCAGCTGGCCCTCAGTCAAACTTAAATATTTAAGTCTCAGAGAAGCCTGGTTCACTTCAAGGACTTCAATTACTTTCCCTGGATTTAACTATCTTCTCCCTAAATTTTTAGTGGGTTTGTTTTATTTGTATTTTCACAAAAGGAATTATGACCAGAATAACAATATGAATGTACCAGAAGTTTCTTTGTGAACAGTGAGCAATTCAATACTCTAGCTTGTACTCCAAATTACTTTTCAATGGATATCTTATTTACCAATGTTATCCTTTTAGATAAACTATTTCAAATGATTAAATACTAATACTTACTTAGTTTCTTTTGTCAGTACTATATGGAGACACTGCAATTTAAACCTCAAAAGGTAATGTGTCAAGAAAGTTATTTCAGGTAATTTGCCTCAGTTCCAAGACTGCATTAGATAAAATACTTTTCTTCCCACAAAACAAAACAAAACAAACAAACAAAAAAAAAAAAAAACACAGTACAGTTTAATTTATGGCATAGATACATATTCTGCAGGGGAAATGCATGCACTGCTTGTATTTATTTTTATTTTTTCTATTTCTCTTAATGCACCAAGATGAACTTCATATCATCTGTTCGTATTTTAACTATGTTGATTAATATAGACAAGTACTTTATGTGAAAAGTACAATTTTAAAACAAATTGCACAAGAAAGGGTCAAGCAGTCCTACTAACTTGTTAACAAAGCAGTGAGTTGACAAATGTGTTCCACAAATTTACATGGTTCTCAGTGTCCAACTGCCTGTCAATAAGACATAACATGACTTCCAGATAACTGATAAACTGTTATCTCAAAGTATATATCTATACACACACACATACAAACACAGACTTTCCAAGTATGCATATGTATAGTGACTAGAAGAAATTATCACTTCTTATCAATAAAGATCCTAAGGATCACAGCACTGAGATTCCATCTCATATATCAGAATATTTTCTTATGTCATAGAAAAAGAAAAAGAAAAAGAAAAAGAAAAAGAAAAAGAAAAAGAAAAAGAAAAAGAAAAGAAAAGAAAAGAAAAGAAAAAGAAAAAGAAAAAGAAAAGAAAAAGAAAAAGAAAGAAAAAGAAAAAGAAAAAGAAAAAGAAAAGAAAAGAGAAAAGGAAAAGGAAAAGGAAAAGGAAAGGAAAAGGAAAAGGAAAAGGAAAAGGAAAAGGAAAAGGAAAGGAAAAGGAAAAGGAAAGAAAAAGGAAAAGGAAAAGAAAAAGAAAAGGAAAAGAAAAAGAAAAAGAAAAAGAAAAAGAAAAAGAAAAAGAAAAAAAAAAAGAAAAAGAAAAAGAAAAAGAAAAAGAAAAAGAAAAAGAAAAAAGATTTTGGACTTAACTTTTGACCTAAAATAATAGTGTAAATGAAATCAGGATTTAATACTTACTTGCTACTAGTGGATTCTGCAGTCTTAATCACAATGAATAATTCTCACTTACCTTTTTTTTTTTTGACTTATTAAAGCCAAATCAATCCCTACAAATGCAATTCATTGTAACAGTTGCAAATACAGTCCTTAGTCCCATATAATGAAGGTGATTATCTCTAAAAACTGGAAATATATACCTGTGGATGGATATCTGAATATCCATATCTCGAAGGGATATGTATTAAGGGACAAATTTAGAAATATGGAAACGAAGAACATTCCTCATGAATAAACAATGCATGAAACATGCCAGCTAAACTGTGAAAGTGTCCATCTGGACACTTATCACAGAGAAAACCTGGTAACAGTGTAAATTTTCATACACACCCATGGAAGAATCAGATGTTGAAGTTTAGGGCAATCTTTATTCCAAGCTATAATAATATCTTAAATATCTCCATATAACAATTTCATTTTAATTGGAGATTTCACTGCTCATGAAGATTTTGACAGACATTCTAATTCTCCAAGAGTAGTAAGTGAATAAACCAAAGACGTTAGAAATTAGAAAGGATTTAAGGAATGGCTGGACAGTTAAAATCCACTAAAGCTAACACAGTTTCCTTTTTCAGTTATTTTAAACTTGTATTTCTTTATTTTGTCAGTCTTTGTAGTTTAATTTCCGCTACTGTTGAATGTTACTCAACTCAGCTTTGCTGGTAAACACAGGGGCTGTATCTACTGTCTCTCTACAGCATCACAATAGTCTTTAGCTTAGAAGAATAAAAACTAAGAAAGTGCTGTTTGTGAATTAGGTTTTCCAGATTTACTTCCTATACTGTTCTTATCCTTCAATTTATCTTACAGATCTTCTAATTCTCCTTGCCATATTGATTTTAATTGTAGACGACTAGATTATAGTTTAGACTTTATATAATCTACTAAACCACTTTTTTCTCACTGCTCTTGTCCATTTACACCTCTTGTTTAGACTCTATCTATATAATATTGCTCTCTATAAAAACAATTGCAAATACAGCACTTCCTTTCTATCAATACGCTCTTAGGGCAAGTATGGGCATGCATGTTAGAGGAATAATAGTCAAGTTCTAAGACAAAACATAGAAGTATTTAATATATATTTTCCTTTTAGAAGTGACATTTTTCCTCTATGTTTGTGACAACTGGTTTCCTCAGAATTATAAAAGTCTAATATAATTGTTAAGGGAATTTGGCAGTCTTTCTAAGTTTATTTTTCTAACGTCAAAAATTGTCTTTGTCAACAGTACAATGACTCATAGGTAACTTAAGTCTGATGGTACTATAGTTAGCCTTAATGTTACTCAGTTTAAGCTTACCTATTTGACTCATTTCCTAGAACTATCTGAAGAGTCTCTGATTCTAAGAGTGATGGAGCAAACATAATTCAAATGCAACTAAGACTGGTGTTCTGACAGTATATTTATATAGTTATCTTAGTCAATACCTTAGAAACAAAATCTTTGTGCTATATTTTTTTTTCCACAAACATGATGACCCACTCTCTCCAGCTATTCTAAAAACCTCTGACTGTTCTTTGCAATATCCAGTTACAAGACACTTTTTTTTTCTTTAATTCTCAGTTTTACTCATCACAATGATTGGAGTATTTTAAGCAAATTCAGTTTGAGCAGTCAAGCTCATAAAGTGTGTGTGACAAAATGTAGCATTTTAAACGCAGTCAGCATCTTTAAAACACATCTTTAAATGTGTCAGTTACAGTGTTTACACACTTTATTTATTCAGCTTCATATCAAATTCATTCTCATGACAATTTTATTAACTAACTCTCCCCATGGTTTGAACATTGCATAACAAGTGTAACTTTTTTTTTTTTTTTTTAATACTATAAATAGAAAATTACAGAGGACACAATAGGAAAATGTGTCTGGGAAGTTCTGTGATGCTCTTTCAACATCAGTAGCCCAGAAGTTGGAAAATCTGATAAACAGATGATGCTTTTTCAATGGTTTATTGTCTGGAAAGTTTGAGGGGAGCCATATTCAGAAGAGAAAAGATGCAAAAATGATCTAAGATGCTAAAAAGGTGCTAAATGATGCAGCAGCAGGAAGTGGACACAGACCAATTGGAAGAGTATCAAAAGCATGGAAGTGAAATCTACTTTTTCCCTGATTTAGCCCTTTTTCTACTTTTTCCCTAATTTGAATGCTAAATAACAGAATCAGACCTCAGGCATCGCTTGTAATTAGTGTGGAAAATAGGTATCCTGGATGGTAGTTAAAGACTGTGGGCTTTCAGTAAGAAAACAAACCACCCACTCTTCATGTATATCAACTGAGCTAATGTTGATTTACAGATGTCTAAGAAATGAGTGTTGGTATCTTTTTTTTTTTTTTTTTTTTTACTTAAAACAAATGCAAGTATAAAGTGCTGTATGTAAGTGTAAATGTAAGTGTAAAGGCTGTGAAATGTGACTTCTCTTTTGCTAAAGGTGCCTGATCTCTTTGGCCAGAGAGCAGAAATTCAGCAACAAGACAAACCTCCTGGGGGGGAAAATTTTTCAACCTGAATTAAAAGTAGCACATCAGAAGAAGACAGGAAGCCTGTAATATACACAGTTCCCTTAAATTATTATTCTCTCTGTTGTACTCATAATCTTCAAGAAAGATACTGTGGAAGTTCTTGTGTTGCTTCTTTCTCACTCTGATATGTCAGGTTCCTCATGATCCTCTGCTTCATTTCTTTCTGCTTTAAATAATTAAACCTGCAAACATACATGTGCCTCTGGCCTTGATTCCTTCCTGACACATTCAGATGTGGTAGCACACTCAGAGAAAGCAGAAAAAACATACTGACACCTCTGAAGATAGAGGTGAAGGACAGCATCCTCAGCCACAAGCCACTAGAATATCCCACAGAACATGTGGGTGGCTTCAGAGACAAGCTACAA